TCGAGGGACCGGATTCTGCTTAAGCTCACTAAGGCAAGAACTTTCTATAAACTCATTGTACTCATCGCTTTGATTATACAGGAGAATGGCATTACAACATAAAATGAGGTGATGGAACCGACTTCCTTTCAATAGGTGACAGGAACCGTTCAGGGTAATAACCTCAACTTTTTACTTTTCTCAGTCCTTCTGAACGATCTTCCAAGCACCGAAAGCGGACAGCACGCATCCACGAGGACGGATTTTACGCTCTACGGCGATCACTTTGCAGTCCATGGGACAAATCGCTCTGAGGTGACGTTGGTACGCCGACAGCAGCACGCAATGGACGTTGACCTAGAAGTCAATCTGGGCAGGATAAAGTTTATGAAATTTCGAAAAACGAGACCTCTAACAATAGGTGACACGCTCTGGCTGCATTCCTCGCTTTTGAAACATGTGAAGCGATTTCGCTCCCCTGGGCTGATGATGATCTTGCTCTAGGACTTGTTGCACTGAGCGTGTAAAGGAACACGTTAGAGATGCATCAGTAACGAGCGCTGCCGAATAAAAGCCATCGCTCTTTTTCCTGAAGATGGCGATACGCCTCTTCAATATTAAGCCTACACTATTGCCCTCATATGGCATCACACATATCTAAAAGAGCTTTGCGGAACACGTTCCAACCGTGTAGCCTGGACTAGAGAAAACCTGCCTTTTCCAAGAGAGCTGGACCTGTATACTTTCTGCCATAACCGGCATGTGAATTTGATTGTGAATGCGGGTATATCTGTTAAAAATTTCGAACACTAATTTGGCCTATAAGTAGTATGCCTTCTTATAATTCATACAACGAACGGAGGAATGAATGGTTGAGGTTGACACGGAAGCTTTTTTGCCTTCGGTGCTGTGGTAGCGGAACATAGAAGGAACCCCCCCCCCCCCCCAGAACGAAGCGACATGTCATAATCCGCTACGCAGTGCATAGGTTCTATCACGTTCTATGTGCTAATCAATAGTACCATGGGCCGAGTTAAACCTGCACCTGTGTATGCGTCGGAGACCATTGTCCGCGGTACCACGTAAACTCATGTCCAAGAACACCTTTGTTGAACAGCTTGGTACAGAGTAAAAATGCGTAATCATAGCTCTATGCGCCATGTATTTTACTTTCAACATTTTTATACTATTTTAGAATGCTTTTATATTGGATAAGATACCTGGCAAAGGTTACAATAAATAAATGATACCAAACATTTACTAGATGAAGCACACAAGCTAGCTTCGTACAAACAATGTGTTATCATCAGACCGAAAACGTGCAAACAATGTGCCATATTCTCTAAACAACGTAAGTCCTAAAATGATACAGCTACAAAATGGATCTTAGTTGTAGAAACGGTGCTAATGTATTTTAAATCATGCAAAAGCCATTCTGGTCCTATCCTAGGTGTTTAGGATTTACGGTGCTGAACCGCCTGCTGATAGACTGCACTAAGCTTCCAAGCCAAAACTAGCAAGTTTCTTATTTAGTCGTCAATAACAGACGTATGGCAGGATTTAATAAACATGTTAAACAGATCATTGTAAGTTAGGCGCAGGTAGATTGCCATATATGTATATATCGACATGCATGTACGGGAATACCTTGGCTCCTCGACCAATCGCAGGTTCCGCAGCAGTCGTTTCGCTTGAAGCTAAGGTAGCGTCGTGCTCTTGAACCTGTTCATCCTGTAGCTGCTGCTTTCTGTTACCGAAGCGAAACTTATTCCAGGGCTTCTGTCCCTTAACTGCGTCTTCTGATGAAGCAACAACCGAATCTTTCATGTCTTTTTCTTGAGAGTGAGCGTCCGCCCGATCAGAGTCAATGATGCGTTCGACCTCTTCATCCTCGGCGTCTATAAATCGTCCGAAAAGAATAGCAGTGATTTGTCAGCTGCTTGGGCCCATCGAAATCTGAGACCCCATGTCATATCGTGAATAGAAAAATATTCCCAGAGAATTGGTGGGGAGAGCCGGCAAAGTGGGCAGCATGCAATGTGTGCTCATGGTTCTTGCGGTAAAGATATCCATCCGAATAATAATCGCCCACTTTCAAGGACTTTCGAAAGCACACCTAGGCGCTTAGGTTTGATTTAATCTTCAGGTTACAAGTTGTTATTGCCTTTTCGGAAAGTTCCGAAGGCCAAATCGCCAAAAACCAGTATTACTGGCTGAGATTTCTTACAGGTTTTTTAAAACAACCTGTCTATTTTTCGACTGACAGCCTGATTAATTGTAAAATACGAATAATTATTATTATTTAAATTATGACTATAGCATCTAGGAGGTATCAGAAACGACGAGGTCGGGTGTGATCGTCATTTTGCCGGAATTTTGCAGAATACGATTCACTGTAATCATTTCACCGTACAAGCTCGTATAGGAAGTGATGATGCCAATGTTCCCTGTCTATGTTAGGGGCTCTCTTATCCTAATTCGATGTGTGCTAACACCCATAGTTTGCTCGCAGCTTCACATGCATACAATAATCGATTCGTTGATAAAAAAGGCTTTTTGCAGGGCTAAAGCACAGGCAAAATATGTTAAGCAGGCTGACCTTAATGTGTACCTAATTAAACGAAGTACACTCTACGGGTGAAAACCTTGTTTTTACCGTAATGGTGTTCGTCATCCTGTTGTGCCGCCATTGGTTGCTGCTGCTGTCGTTGTAGAGCTTTCGTCTCATCGACTTTAATGTCCTCCAGGGTTTTTTTTCGCCTCCATGGAGCTCCAAACGTTCGACGTCTTGCAGAATCGGTAGCCACAGTTTCAACGAACTTCCTCTGAAATAACGCATTGTCAATCGTTTATGTTTTCCAAATATATAAATATTATAGCTATTGAAATTTGCAACATTCAACAATATTTTTATAGATTTGATCAGCCAACATATTAGGTTAGAAAAAGTCCTTGCGCTTTATCTACTGATAGAAAAGAGCACATTTTTTATTTCTGTGTTCATGAGATGTATATATATATATAGATATATATACATATATATTTCCCCTCATGGTTCGCCAGAAAGTAGCAAGTTTCGTGCCGAAAAGATCTTGCAACCATGTTTTGAGTTGTTTACCTGTACCGACGGTTAGGTCATGAAGGTTATTGTTCAGTATATGAAAAAGTTGAAAATCCGTCGGCCCAACATCCAGAAAGTACAGCGGGTGCAAGTAACATAAAGTCTTCAATTGCAATTTCAGTAGAGCAGCTTTGACGATGTTCGCCGTTTGCGGCCTAGCGTTATCGTGGAACAGAATGACATGCTCTCGTTTGTTGGATGTTTTCCCTCAAATATCCTAATTGATTTGGCGCAATTAGGTCAAGTCAACGTTTTGATCAAAGGTTTGGTTCAGGCCTCTGCGGTCCTACCAAACGCAAAGCATAATCTTTCTTGGATGAAGATCTGGTTAGATCCTGGCCCTTGGAAACATCTTGAGACATCCTGTTTAACTCAGACAGTCCAGAAAGTGCCTAAGCTTCAATATCTTGTAAAAATCCAAAGGGCTTGAGGATTTTAATGTGTAGCTACAGCTCGTCTTTTTGGGAGTTGTCTGTCGATCTTCACGTGGTATTCATCAAACTCAGATGGTCGGCCGTAGCGGAGAACATCATCTAAATCCAGAATACCATTTTTAAGCTTGTTAAATCACTCATGAGCGGTCGTCATGCTTCGGCAGTCCTTACCAAACTATAAAGGATGGACCCAATTTGCCGCTTGAGGTTGCTAAAGAAAGGACGAAAAAGACTTTAAAAGTGCAATATCTGCCATCCCTTTCATTAGTGTGGTCATCCGACTTCTTCAGAAGTAAGAGAGGAACTGAGAACTAGCGGAGGGTAATGCAACCAAGTCCGACCGCCTGTACTGAGCCTTACACTCGGCTCACACCAAATTGCTTCGCCCTAATGGTGTCCCATCATACATAAAAAAAAAAAATATTATTCGAACGCTCTTAAGAAAAAAGGAGTATGGTAGCACCTCTGCACATAGACGAACTTAATGAAAACAAGCTTTAATGATAATTTTCTTTTCCAATATTTCTATAATGGCCTAATAATATAATATAGCGACGTACCTGTGCAACATCGTAACCAGCTGATATCGGCTCAGTGCCCTCCTCAATGTTTTTTGCTTCACAATGGACGCTCGCCATTGCCTCTTGCGCTGGTGCAGAGTTCCTTCCACCTCGGAAGCGTGAAATGAATATTAGGCCTTTCCTTTTGCCCGTCATCTATATGAAATGCAATAAAAACACACAATAAGGTTTTAAGAATCTTTAAGACCGTTGTGCTCCAGAAGCTAATCTTTTAAAACCTTCGGAAATCAGAAAATGTACAAGTAAGCATTTCTTAAAGTTATGACTATAAAACTTCACGATGTATAGCATGAGCGCAGTGCTACCTTTCAATATGCTATAAGGTACTGTAGCTTCTCATAGTTGTAAATTGTAGGTTATAGTCATACTATAGGCAGAGAGCTAAGATGATGACATTCATCTCAAGTAATAAGCCAATACTTATTAGCCTGTGGGGAAATCCTATAAGAAACAAAATAAGCCTTTGTTTTTTAATACTCGCTAAAAAAAAATATTGAATTTTTATAAGAACAATGATTGAGGACACCAAAGCAGGTTATAGTAGTGACCAAGTTGACTCATGGAGGTGCATCTACCACCGTGAAGCTGGATTCCAAAGGGCGTATATTTCATGTATGATTTTACTATATGATGTGTCTTCTAATCAGATCATAACCATAACGACCTTCGGAGAAGTATGTTCTAAAATATTTTTCGGATTGTCTAGCGAAGTTTTTTTCTGGATATACAGTGCATATATTATATTTTATAACTGACTTACTTCATTTTAATCGTTAGAGGGTACGCAAGTAAACAAGCTGCGCGGTTTACAATATTCTACGGACTGCGTAAATTACAACTTTTCTCTAGTGTTCTTTTGCCACTTGTGCCCGTACTAACCTCTTGTCTAGCGGAACATTTGGAATCATCTCTCCCTTTGGCGGGTCCCAGGTCACCTCTGTCGGCTTGCTCCTCGTCAGCCTGTGCAGTCTCGCTCATATTTTCTTGGCCCGGGGATTCTTTTTCCAGGTCCTTTTCTGATAATTTTCCCCGATTTTTTTCCAACCTTGGGAAAGAAAACCTCGACTTCCTCGAAGGCACTCCGACCTGTACGAAAAGCATACTTTCTATGCAAAATCCAATATGCATATCTAAAATTAAATTTTTTTAACTTAGTTAAATTTAATAGTTAACGACGTTATTACATGAATGTTTCGAATTTTACGTCTGGTATTGCTTTGATTAAGTGTTATTCGGATGGCTGGTCTCTTGCAGCAAGAAACGAAGTAAACTTAAACCCGGGTTTGAACCTCGGCCACCTCATTTAGTATCCCTTAGTTCAGTGGGTGAGCCTGTTACTACTCCATCATAGAGAAAATTATGTTAATCTGATCCCCTTGAATGATCTCACGTCCGTTCATAAGTGGTATTCTATTGGGTAGCCGATATCTTCAAGCTAATAACGCAGGTAATGGAGACACCTGAGTTGCACACAGCGAAGCACGCTTCACCCTATACACGGTGTTTTGTAACAGATAAGTATCTAAAACACTTTTTTTCAATTCCAGAACTGTTCTAGTGTTTCAACATGCTGTAAAAATAACATGAACATACCTGATCTAGGGCTTTTTCCCCGTCTATGTCTTGGCCACTTTTTCCCACACCATCAGCGGCTTCTTGGGGCTGTTGGTCAGCTTTGTTGGGTGGGTCACTGTCATCAGCAGCTTCGTCCAATTGTTGATGTTCTTGGGTGTCCACCTGTTGTCGCTTACCCCCGAATCTTAGCCGAAATCCTTGTTTGACTTTTGGAGTAGATCTACCAGTTACTTCCTAAAAAATGGCAATTTGGTTCAAATATATTCAAATCGGTAAGACGATTTTTGCAACAGCGTCACTTTACTACAGCTGTCAGTATTTTACAAAGAGTCAGTCCCAAATGTTTTTATACCTCAAACGTCACCTTCTCTTACCCTTATGAGTTGTAATTCCTAAAAGAGTTTGCCAGAGCTACCTTTAACATTTTTTAACTAAACAGCATTGATTTTCATTTCCGTACAAGAAGAGCCTTTTATTTTGAAGAATCTTAGAAAAATCTAGCAGAGAAAACGATTTCTCCAAGAACATACCTGACCTCCACTATCCTTAGCACTCTCCTTGGCAGCTTGTTGCTGACTTTCGTTGCCTACCAGTTCCTCCAGGATTGCTTCCTGTTTTTTCTGTTCACCTTCATCACGAGACGATTGCTCCTCAAAACGAATTTTTCGTTTAGAGCCCGGTTCTCTTGACTGTTGAGTTATCTCTTCCTTAACTTCATATTGCTCATCTTCATCGTCTTCGTGATGTCCATAAAGGCCTGATAAAGTTCCCGCAGGACGCACCGGAGGAACCCGCGTCGCGCTAGCGCCCTTCTCGTAATCCGCATCATCTCTAATGCTACGAACTGCGCTAGAGAACAGACGAGGGGTGGGAGTTGGTGGCGATGGTGTAGTCCTCTGCCTATCAGGGCTGGCCATACCGAAAGTCTTAAATAATATAAATAAATAAATCGATGAAGTTTGCGTGAGGCATAAAAATCAAAGAGGGTCATGCACTTGACGTTGCTCCGTGTTGTTTGTGAACCACATGAAATACAGAACATAGAAAAAGAGCATAAGATAAATCTACAGCAGTTTATACTTATATTTTGTCTAAAATTGGCAAACATTTCAAAAAAAAAATAAACGCGTATTATAGAGTACGTAGGCTCGATTCTTATGCAACGTACGCCCTTTCGGGGAGTCGGTTTTTTCACATCTCGAGCTGATGATGGTGGTGGTGATTGATGTTCGTTGATCGACTCAGTTGAATCATCGTGTAGTTCTTGCAAAATGTCATGCACGGCCTGAAACAAACACGTGTCTTTCAATAGGTACATGCAGCTGCCAAAAAAAATCATCAAGGATACACTTTTCAATTGCAGTAGGGAAAATCGAACAAGGCTTCACAGTCAAGTGTCATTGAATGAATCGTTTTTCCTATTGATATAAATAGAGGATGGTCCAGTTACATGTCAGTCAAGTAGGACTGTTGCAAGGCGAAGCGTAAAACGTACTTTATTAGCATGCTTTTTCCCTTCCCGAAAATAGAAGAGAAATAAGAAAAACTCTGCAGGTTATTTTGTTTTCAAGCTGAGAAAGCGATTTATCGATGAAAGATGGTAGTGTAGTGAGTAATTATGACACGGAGACAATAGGGGGTTCGAGCTTGACTACAGATTGCCCATACACTATACGGCCAAAATATTGGGACACCCTTAGTAGGTGAGTGTTGATGCAACTCTAGTGACAGGCCGAGATTACTGGTTCACCATAGACTTTCAGCGCGTTCAGACGCGTTCTGTTTAAAAAAATGAATTCTCGCAAATAATTTAGTCGACATTCTCTACGACTTTTACCGCTGCCAGTACTTAATATTGGCTTCCTGCTTTGGCCTTATTATAACGCTAATTTTCTGAATAAAAATAATCCTGCTAGGAAAAAGACACCCTCTTGCGGTAGAGTACAATTATCCATAGGTATTTAGATTTGCAATTAAATCGTACTGAAGCCGACGTTTCATTCGTTATCGGCATAGTGAGAGCCTCTCGTCGCAATAGCCGAAGATCTCCTTTAGGTATCGGTGTTACAGGATCTCCCATAGATTCGTTCCACTCGCGTTCTGGATGATAATCATCTCGTAATTCGTATTACAACTAATGATTAAGTCACAGTATTAGTTGCTCGCTGGTCATTATTGATCAGCCCGAACGTTAATCTTCCTTTATCGTGTTTGGGCTTGGCCTGCAGAAAGCAACGTATAAAACCGTCTCCTAGCACAGAGTTTTTCCACACTCTGCCTAAATATTGCCACAAAATCACAGCACTCAAATTATACACGGTTATTTAATGAACGCTAGTAGGTCCGATTTAACTGAACTTGTAACATACAGGCATTTGAAAAAAGGCCAGGTCCTACAAAGCAGTCTCTTGGGTCAGAGTGACATAATTCGGTTGAAGAAAGTATAATTGTATAGGAACAAGTACAAATATTTAAGAATACGCCTGTTTAAGAGCAAATGAAAACACAATATTTATAGGTCCTACGATGACCTGTAGGGCTGTGAGCATTAATGCCTGCTTGTATCAAAGCGGGCCCTGTTGCTAAGGTAACCGTTGTGATCTAACAGACCAATCCGTGCCTGTCGATTAGGCGGAGGGTCAGGCTCTATTCGACGTCTATTAGAGTAAGGCGGTCAGGACATGAGATATAGGACGGAAAGTAGTAATACGTAAAAGTAAGAAGAATAATACGTAGTTATTACAATTAGTACTGACTATTTTCAAAAGAAATACATTCCTAATTCAGACAAAAAGTAATAAACATCAGGAAACTAGGTAGTTTGCAGAAGTTTGTGTTGAAAATAATACAATGAATTAGCTAGCACAAGCTTAATATCTGCAAAGATCGAGCCCTGTTATGACCTAAGTTTACGCTGAGAACAACTTACAATATTTCTCGTATGTATTTCATGTGTTGAGAACGACGTCTAATTGTTAGCTTCAAAGACAAAAACTGTCCCCGTTTCTTTGTTTTAAATGAACTTGATTTCCTGTAATCCATGACTGTTTATGTTCGTTATATAATTACTGTTGCATACATAAAAATTCGTGCCATACCATGCATCGTGTATTACATAGGGGGTTACCTGTCAAAGTCCTCTGTTAATGTACCACCACGGTTTTAAGAGATCAATAACGGAAAATAACCAAGGATTTCGATATTATGCTTTTATTGTTGTAATTATTTCTTAATTTTTCTCATTTACTATGTACAATTTAGCAAACAAAATATATATATATATATATATATATATATATATATATATGTATATCGCTGTCAAATACAACCAACATTGCTTTTGGCACAAATGAATGTTTAGCTAGCTGCCTGCAACCGAAAAAAGTCTGCTTATATTGGTCCAAATCTATTATAGGTAGTAAATAAACTGCACAAAATAAGCAAATAACTCTAATTTTCTGTCAGACTTATTATAGGCCTGCACGTGTTTCAAGATCGACGATTTCTAACTTAGTACTTCAACGACGCTCCAACTACCGAGACTCGAAATCATTACGATATTGAGACACATACTGATAATAACAAAAGAAAAAACTATTTAAATCCTGTTTTCACTTTATTATGATTTATTACGAGGCTAAGTTTACGTAACATTATTTCAGACTAAATGATTGCTGTTTCTCTATGATGGTTTTTGCTATAATTTATAATTTTTGGGTATTAACAAGATCACATCTATTGATTTATTTTATTATTAACTGAACTAAACTGGTTAAGCTATGGAAATTAATTGGGGTCAGAAGTGTTTAAGTTCCTGTCGAGGAGCTCTTCATCCCTGTAACAGATATTTGCCCTTCAAAATTTCAATAAATAGAGCACACAAGAAGGAAACATTAAAGAGTGGCTCCAAACTTTATCTGTGGCCATAACGAATGATTGAAGCGTTACGTCCCCATACTTTCACGGATTATCCTATCGTCAGAATTCGTTTGAAAGGTAACCGTTAAACTGACGCAAGCGGGATGATTGGGAAAACGGTGTTGTTATTCGTTCAGATGTGACGACTGCGAGTGTGATGGAATCGTCCGCAGCGACAAAACCCTCCGCTATGAGGTCCTGAAGAGAGACGACCCGGCCGCCAAGGCTTTGTGGTTCCTCACAACCTCGATTTCCCGCCTATGTTGCAGAAAAAAGAACCGATGACGACCAGTTACAACATCCGAGATGAAAATTAATTCAAGTAGTTAACCCCTGCTGTATACTTCATGAACATCACAAAATATTAAGTTATTCTATGGTTTTCTTTTCGTTAGGATCGTTAGCGTCAGATAGTGATTTGTCTAGGCATTTGTATGGTGGTATTGTTATGTTTTTCTCGGCAGAACTCGCCACTCGCAGTGACGATATTGCCCTAAAAGGCAATATTACTTATGTATAGCGTACAGACTGATACACACACGCTACGATATGTGGATTGGTTCACTAGATGTCTTGTAATTCTATTTTAGGTTCGATTATATCAGAAATATGTTGACCAACGCCGATCGGCAGTTACACTGTTACAGGTGGTTTACCACGACCGAAAAGGCGATGCAAAGGTAGGTTAAGCCTTGCAAACGTGAGGAAGGTGTCCTTCGGTGTGCCTCGTTCACTCTGGAACTATCTAAAATTCACTCATATGAGTTTCCTTATGAGTTTAATTGAAAACGATCTGTTCTTGAATGTGTGTGTGTGTGTGTGTTTTTATTAAATGAACAGAAGTAAATATTAGATGGAAGAACTTACAGGTCTCAAATAAAAATTTGGATGACGGCTGCGCAACGCGTCGAGCACATGTTGCTTACTAAGCAAACTGAAAAAAATTATATGAATTGAATAAGAAATTGATTAATGCATTGACGACTAAAGCTAAATAAATATATTTTTATTTGTAGTAAGAGCGCCTTCTCGTACTCCGTTCTGGATCGGAACAACGTTATTATAGAGAATGATTATTTAAATTTTTACTTTTATTTTACAAACGGTTAGGTTTAGTGAGGGAAGTATGAGAAGATGACCTGTCTATTGGTTACTCAGACGTAAACAAATGCCATTGTTTTCGAGACAAACCTTTTTTTTTATTTTATACAGAAAGAAGTCCGAAAGTTATCCTATTAAAGTAAATGCGCTTTTCACACTGCTTTCCTTGCAATTGGTACCCTTAACATTTTAGAAATAATCTATAGCTTTGAAGATTTTGAAAGCTATTCAAACTGGAACGCAAATTTAGTATGTGGGCAATAAATTATTATTTTTTTAAATAAAAAAAAAAGTAGCTTCAAGCAAATAAAGCGGTATCCATTTGTTAATGTATTTCTCAGTGCAGGAGAGAAGTTCAGCTGCATCAACGAATGCACCTGGACCATGTCCGCCACTTACGTGTCTGAACATTGTCCCGTGAATCTCATCATTCGCAAAGGAACTTCCTCAACTTTTCCGGCCAATTTAAAATGTACGTTTTCTGACGTTGCCATCATAAGAGATGACGCATACTTCTATTTACTAGTTTCTCAATAACTTTTTTTTTTCAGCAGTTTGTTGGTGCTTGTTGTCAGTAGAGGTGACAATCGATCGTTTTGCCATGGAACAACAAGTCATTGAATATCGTTGTATATAAGATTCACATGTGATCCACTCTTTATTATCGGTGATCAACCTCGTTAGATATGACTTGATTTTATTGTTGGGTTTCGTAAAGTACGTTCGAGTAAACTATCCTTCGTCAGTTCATGTGGCACCCAATCAAGCTTTTCTTTTTCTAGCCTAGTTTGGTTTAAACGTGTTTTGCGGTGGGTGCTTACTTCCCTGAATATCTCATAGTTACCCACGTGTCAGTCTTGCTCAACTTTCGCAGGACTTCTGCGAGCCTTTCTTCGTAATTTGTCGATTGCTACAAAAAACAGGTTTTACGTGGAAATTTCTAGAACGAAAATGACAAAAGCATCTCTATACCTTTTTCCGATCCATAGCGCATATTAACAATAGATAGTAGAAAATTGTTATTTGTACTTGTGCTTTAATCGTGCTAAGGTTGTAAAGTATAGCAATGTTAGTTCGCTTGTTCTCACAATATTCAAATCCAATGACAGCCATTGCAATGGTGTTAGCGCATCTATTGCTGTCCGATACGATGCGACTGGTATGACCTGAGCTATACGACTCTAAAATGACCAAGTTTCTTTTCAACAACCCAATAGAATGCTTGACACGTATTTATCGGCTATAAAGAAATGAATGTAAGAAAAGCCGAATGTATCTCAGTTACCTGTCTTCGGGATGTACGATCATAAGCGCTATTTCCCCTCTGTACGGCCATTCCAGGTTCATGTTGACTCGGGAATCGGCCCGGAAAGCAATGCGCATGGCTAACCAAAACTGTTTGTCGCTAACGTTTCGCTCGAATTGAGCGTGGAGAATTGCGGGATGGCCGGAATGTGAAAGACGGAATACCTTATTGGGGATGGTCAGCCCAAAATGATCATTCGTACATCTAGTCAACATAATGATACGACAGGAAACAGGACAAACACTTTACTAATGGAATCACCACAGGTAGCAGGTTCTAACTAGACATTAGATTTCACACTTGTTAAGCCGATCGCTCGGTACCGAGCGATTTTCTCTACGATCACGCACTACCTCTGATGAACTAAAGCCTCAAACCGGTAATCTGCAACCGAGATTGTTTTGCCTCCCTTGAATTCTTCTTATGACGAGGCCCAAATATTAATCAAAATAGAACCAATTGAAGAGAACTCAGCTACTACCATTAATTGGCGAACTAGAAAGTAAAGGAAGAAAATAGCAAGGGAAAGCAAAAGAAAGTAAATCAATGAAAGTCATAGGTGACGCCTGTGAATCCTCATTTTTTCTGTGTTTGTTAAAGAAAGCACCATATTGTGTATTCTAATAAGGTATTTGGCCTCGTACAAAGGAACGATTGACTACTCTTGCAGGCTGATTTGATAGCAAAACCTTGCTAGGTAGGTTTACTTGCTTGTAGGTTACTCATACGCAGGTAACTGAATTATTTAAAATAAGCTCATTAATCTCAGGACATCCATCTCTTGTGTTTAAGCTGAATTCAATAAATTTAAAAGTCCTAATTATAAAATAAGAAAGGATCACAAACTTCAGCGTATCGCGCGTGTCACTAACGGTTATGTGAAATGATTCTTCAAAACTACTAATTACCATAATTTCTCTGCGCTAAAAAAATACGGACTGGATTTTACAAATGTAAACTCACATGGCTCGTGCGAACGGATACAAAGCGTTATTATCAATTAGAATGATCAATGCCTGAATATCCTTTGGCATACTCTATATACCTTGTAATCACGCTAGTTTTGCCATGTTAAAAAAGCTATGCGCAAGGGGGCAATTGACTGAAGTCATAAAAAGTTAACCATCGCTCCAATGGGATTAACTAATACCGGTCGAAGTCTGCGGCTGGGATTACAACCGATGACACTTTTCCGTGTCAAAATAATAATCATTCGCTCTGGTCGGCAGATAAGCTGAATAACCAAATTAGCCATGTTGGGATTTCGGTGACTTCAGCAGAGAGAAATACATGGTAATGATGTAATGTTAACCGAATCTCTATTGTGACAGAAGTTATTTATAGTGGTTGACCACAATAAGGCTGTAAAACACGGCGGAAAAAGCGGACTGGGAAGGTCTGTTTCTCACATCTTTGTTAGCTAGGTAGTTAAGGTGCTCAGGACAATCTATATCTTGTACAGATTACTTAAGGTTGAACGACCTTGCGAATTGTTGCCGCGAAGCTATGTCGTTAGCGCAAATATTTCGGTTCCCTACGACGTGAACGTATGTATTTCTAAAAAAAACAATAGAATAAAAAAGATGTGCTCTGAACGTTAAGGCGAAAGAAGTACCTTTCGAGATTCGTTTTAATCTGCGAAAATCGGACGATATTCCAGAATGAACGCTTTATATTTAGGCCGGCTGAAATAGATAAAAATAACTAAGGTTATATATATATATATATATATATATATATATATTTTTTTTTTTTTTTTTTTTATAATAAAGATAATTTTATACCAACCAAAAGAATAATGTTTTTGAAAAATTCTTTTCTCACACATGTGCATGACATAGGGCAAAGTTTGTAGACGTGACATGAAGCAGCAGAAGTGACCAGCAGATATAAATATATGACGATAATTAGACATGGAACGCAAACAGAGCATCCACCGACAGAGTTCATTAAAACTGAGTTAGATAATTGCTTAAGCAGGCTTTTGACACTAGGCATGTACATACTCTTTAAGTATTACATACCAACCGAATTCTGGGTTTCGCGCAGCGTGACTGCTAGCGACGCCAGGACATCCTGCAAAACGAAGATACCCATAGAGTTGATTGTACAGCCTGCATCGGACAAACGGCACCCCTTTTGCATTTTATCAAGTAATAATAATCATCATATTGATGCGATCATCTACTCGCCAATGCGTTTTAAACATCATACAAAAGGAAATTAAATCACGTTTGAAATTTACTCTTGTCAAATTCAAAAGCATTGTTCGCTGATATTAACGACTAATAAAAGCTGCAGATAAATCATTTAGCTTAAGCTGCGAAAATAATCTGCGCTTTTTGCAAATTCGGGGAGGTGGAGGCTTCTTCCCCTCGATTTTTTTATATTCATTAATATGCATTTTTTCGTATTAGTCGAACGACCGTATTTTTACGTCAAGTACGATAACTCGACGTACTTCCTTCAGACTAATCAGCACCTGGATACCGTTGAGTTGCATTTGCATTTCAGAATTCTGTAGATTTGGCAGATCAGGCTGAGATCGCCGTGATTGAATCCTCATCGCGAGTGGAGGTTCCGAGCAGTGTCGAAATGGCGAAGCAGAGACATGACGATTGAAGCGACACTGAAGTGTATCGTAATAGAACACGGAATTAAAATACTTTTTATTTTTAGAGGCAGACTTGGCTCGTAATTAGGTCCGTCCATGGTACATGGCCAAATGCATCCGAAGTGAAAAGTATTTTTGTGTATACAATATTATTTATTTGTATAATTTTGCACCCTGTATCTTGGGTAGAAACGTTTCTGCATTTTAAAACAGTTATATAGTATGCTCTCCCGTAAAAGTCCCGATTTATGGCTAATCCTGAGGTGTGAAGTACCCTATGGGTAGTCGTGGGGATTGGGAATCAGAATGTCTGCGGTTCGATGTCCGTAGGCGCATGAGTGGGGTTTGCATTTCCAGAATTACTATACTTCTTAATTTTTCTTTAAACCTTTTTTAAAACTTATATACCTTTTAAATTGTTATTTTGTTGCCTGCCGTTGACGATAAAGAAGACTGTGTGGAGCTCATGAAATTTTTACGTAGTGCTAGTAGTAGTAATAATAATGATAATAATAATAATAACAATAAAAATAACAATCATACGAATACTAATTATCATCATTAGCAAAGAAGGCACTGACATATGTTTGGTACAATCTAATATCAGTCCTCATTTTTTTGCGCTACTAAATAATTATGCAATTTTTTTCAGCTGGCCGACTTTCGAAACACCTAACTTCAGGCACCATTTCGAGTGCGCCGGCAGGATGCGCCCGTTCCGATGAGCTCTCAGTGGAGCGTGGTAGAGTCAGTGTTCCAAATCGCCCAATTCGGCCTCCACGCACGGAACCACCTGTAGAATATGGCCGTGTGCCATTCCCTCTGCCACTAGCGGCAGGTGCACAATTATGGGCAATCTGCTCAACCGTCTCCTCCAGGAAAGCCAAGTGCATTGCCAACTGCTTCTCCGTCGCTTCAGCAACCGCATCCTGCAGGGACAAGCCAAGACGCCAGAGGTCAGCGCTCTCTAGACATACCTGGACAGAAACGGAAACATAGCAAGGCTTCAAGATTATTAGGCCGTGTGTAACGGGTTAGTCAGGAGGCTATGTTCGGCAAACCCTGCTTTGTCTTCATAACATGGTATAGTAGCGATCTGTTCGCCTAGTAAACTCAGGAACACGGCGGGACGAAACGGTCTGGGTTCGAAATCAGGCGTACGATTCGTTTTGTATTATGGGGCCTGCCTAAAGCAAGACCTTACGCCAGTATATGACCTAAGATTCAGACAATTTATTTACTGTGGTGTGTCCGGCAACAGTGACTGCTTTGTCTCCTACTGGCTGAGTTTTCTTCGTGCGCACGTTTTCGTGCAAGTGCACAGGGTGATGTCGCCCCATAAAGACCACTTGCCTAACCCACTGTTTAGCTGTATCTAAAGAACACTGACCAGCCATTCCCTGTTGATCATCGACTACTGACTGACAAGGATTTTATTGACATTGTTTGTCGCTATTGGAAAATAGGTTCGGTGATGCATATAGCCCAGTATATGTATGCATTTTACATGTACGTAAAGAATTTTATATGGGGCTGACATTATCGTTTCGTGTAGATGATAGTCTTGCAAACTTGCTTACGTGCTTAGCTAATTTTTACTGCTATTTAGAAAAAAAAACTGAAGATTGGTAGATGTCCTATTGATCGTAATCGCTCATAGACCATGTCCCAGTGACGTGGGCCTCCCAGCAGGCTTCCTAACATGGTTAATCGTCCAGACAAAATCAATGCAACCTAATCTCGCCTCCTTTAATCGCAAACGTATGCGGAAACGGCCTTTTAATGCGGCGAATGCCGGCTAAACACACCAGAGGAAAAAACACCATAAGCTCATTGCCGACGTTATGGAACGCTTACATCTCGATTAGGTCGCATCGGATGAAAAGTTGACAGTGACGAACGTGGTCCTATAAATCTCCATGAATACATCTATGGAGAGTAAAAGAATATATTACTTCCCTGTAGAGAATGCAGAGAAAAATCACTGTCGACAGAATTCATGAGCGTTTCGGTTATTCGGGCAGATCGAGTGGCACTCATAGGTTTTCACTGAAGTAGTGGCTAGTGTTTGTTTTATTTTGGTAACGGCTTATGACGCGTTCATCGCACTTGGTGATTGGTCTTACCAAGGGTGTGGACGGTGACTAGTAATAAAATGCTAAACACAATATGGATAGTGACGGCGCCAAATGTCAAGCGTGTTGTTAGCTATATATAGCTAAAGTTGTCAATTTATCAGATAGGCATGCGATAGAGATGGCTAAGATCAACCTGATAATTCTCCCTTGCAGGTTTATAACGTTTATAGTCGATTTCGCTGGTGGGCATTTCAGCTACAGGTTCACGCGTGTAAGTCCTGATCCTGGATTAGCAACTAACAGATTCGAACAAGTGTTAATATCCGTTGAACGCTTTATCTATCATAGATGGATACTGCGTAACGAGTCATTGCGTAATGAAAATTCAAATAACAACAGGAAAGTGCCGAATAATAGGAGCTTAGTTCAACAGAAATAATGGAAATAGAAACTCATCATAGTACGTATATAAAAGGTATGAATACCCAGCACTATGAACAGCTGAATTGATTTGATATACATAAGTCTACCGTATGAACGTATTGTTTATGAAATACGAGAGACAAACAAAGTGTAGTCGATCATATAGCTCTTACAACTGTTTTTCTGAAAAAATATGTGTCTTATTACAAAGATTTTCTGGTTCGCGCATATATAAGCGTATCTAATCAACGAATGAAATTTGGTCAGTAGACCGAATACAAGCAAAGCACAAAGTTACGAGCTACCTGTCTGACGATTTTCCATAGGTCAATGTCGAACATAATGAAAACAACCTTAAATGACTATTAACTTGCTCCGCGAACTTAAAAAATTGCTGTGAATTATTCTATATCGTATTTTAGCTCCGTCCCAAGTGCTTTACGGGATAAATCGAAATTGTTTTAGGCTTATAGTTTGCATACAAACAGCTTACACTGAAATGGGCTATAACACAGTATAGATTAGCTATGTATCACCTACAACATACGAACAACTTTAGACAAAAACGCTTTTCCTTTTAAAAGTTAGTCGTCTTTGAAACAGTTGCTACTCTACTGCTCAGCTGTTTATATCACGAAAAACTAGCTAAAATTCATCCGATACGAGATTACAGAGTGCAATGGGGGGTTCTTCTATTCTAGGCAGGAAACCTATTGTATTACCGTACCCAATCGGACGTAAAGTAGGCCCGTTTCTAGAGCTTCAAGAATCCTTACAGAAAAAAAAAAAAAAAAAACCATTCCATTCAAGTAATATGTTACTAACTGTTTCATCTTCTCGCGCGAACCGAATCTATGTCAGGCACGTACCATGGATGGAAGAAAGCTGGCACTTCGGCACTGTTCGTTGATATGCGTAGCTAGGTCGATTCGAGGTAGATGTCGGTGACAGCGTCGGCATTCGATTCTATCAAAATCGCACCCGTCCAAATGGTCAACAATCTCTTGCAGGGTACCCTGCATACTGCAGCCATGCGTCCTGTTCAAACATGCGGCCCGACAGCTCATAAGAACTGCCAATTCGGTGCGCACCGCTCTAGTGCGAAATGACGTTCCGTTCCCGTTAAATGTAAGTTCTTTGTTGTCAAGGGGACACTCGAAAAATCGAGGCATGCCAGAGCTGCTCTGACAGCACCATTTGCAGACGAGGTGACCGCAGCTGAGTTCAAAGAGTATAGGCACGAGGCTAGAACACAGTTGGCAGAGGACATTCATAGGAGGTTCAAGGAGGTCAACATGACGAGCCTCGAGGGGGGACTTTGGTAGACCACGGATTAGAACCCCCAGCATGGTTTACTGGAGCGAGCGTCGATTCACTGGAGATTAACTCTCTGTACAAGTGAAATACAGGCAGTACCGCACATACAATTCAGTTATGGGCTTTACACATAACTATAGACAAAATTGCACAAGGAAAATCCAAATGACACAGTAACTACCACACAGCGTGCACAAAAGAGCCTTATCCAGGATGCCCCAAAGGAGCTTTCGGTAAGGACAAACAGAAATACCGATTCCTCTAGATGAATGACTTGTTGTTAGGGTTCAGCCAGCTGCTTGATTTCCAATTAAGATATACTTTATCTAGTTCATACGTTTTTTGCTTCCACCGCCAATCCATTACCGACACAATCTACAAACCGTATGACAAGGAAATTGTATAGATCTTATCAGTAACTCATAGTTACGTACATCCATAGTCACGTCGACAGCCAAAGCTCTCAATAATTTCCCAAACTTGTTGAAATGCTATTGACTAAAATACTGACTGCACTTGTCTGCTAGTCACGGTAATATGATGAAAATTGTTGTTGCTGTTGTTGTCGTCGTCGCTGTTGTTCTAATTGCACAGAATCGCTCACTATGAAACATCTGCTGTCAAAAACATAGGTAAAAAGCCGTATCTGCTGATGGACTGCTCACCAATTTGACACTCCCCGAGAGCCACGCCGAAGTGCCCGCTTCAGTATACAACATACGTGGGTGTCTTGGACGAGCTGCAATACGGCCAAGGTCGTGTGAATCGTTCTAAGCGGCCAATAAGATTGAGACACCCGATAAATTGGTGAGTTTACGGTGGATAAACGGAAAATTGACCGCCGGTCTGCTAATCCTCAAAGCAATTAATTGGCTGCGGAAAGAGATCTGGCGGGGCGGGGGGAAACGCGTGCGCGCACACACACGCAAAACCGCACTGAATTCTCTTGTAATAACACTTGGTTGATAGCTGGCACACGACGCGCACAATCCGCAAAGCGAACGTATCCTTAAAGGAAGAGCGGAATAGAGGAATTAGCGGAAGGGATCTAAAGCGGTATTGATTTTGTGTAGGTCGTACCGTGTTTTCATCGAAAAAGTCATTCCGCAGGCATAACAGTAAGTCAGCGCAATGGTTTGCAACAATGGATCGTTTTGTCTTTAATTATTTATTCGATTCGACGTATGTTTTCTAAGAATGGTACTGGTAACGTATTGAATGTAAATTAGAAAGCTATATCATAATAATGATAATATAGTATAGCAAAAAGTTGGGTCGTTTTGCAAAATTGCCTTACGAGTAGTAAAACATGAGGCGGTTTATGGTCGTGATGGAGGACTAAGGTTTTATTGTTCTGGTCTCTTGTTTCGGAAAACCTCGCGTAGATCTCTCTAAACCTCTTGATATTATTCATTTGTGACGTGGAGCTGGTCAGCATAAAGTTATAATGAATAACTCTCCTTCGGTCGAAGGAAACAGTGATGAACGTTTGCGCTGTGAATCTAGATCGTGCGACTTGCTTCTGGGTTCCTTTCTGAACCAATCCGTAGAAAACTGCGCTATGGCTCTTTCATCACAGCCATGCAGCCATGTTTGGTCCACGTAATGTGGTCAGTTAATTTGGGCGCTCCTACGAACGTTAAAAAGTTTTACTGACACAGTTCTTCATGGAACTTCATGTGCTACACATTCACGCGGCACAAACTTTATTATTTTTTTTTTACTTATTATTATAAAACGGCATTAGCCTTCTAACACCTAAGCGGTCGGTCAAAATGATTTAACATGGCTATTTTGTATAGACATGGGCCATAAAACCTACCTCTTGTTTTAGTTCTTTAATGGTAATTTAACGGCGATTTACAAGCACAAGTTGTTTCACCCTATCCATGTTCACGTCCGTAATCGCTATCACGGGCCTTCTAGAACGAGGATCGTCTTCAATGGACTCTTATCGGCCTTCGAAACGTTTGAACCACCTGTTTATTTGGGCTTTACTCGGTACTTGGCTTCCGTAGGCGTTCTCCAACATCTGCAGAACGTCTGTGCAGTTAATGTTGTCTCACACAAGATGTAATGCACGCTCATAGCCTTATTTGGAAAAAATCGCAAAGCGCTAGATATACTTCCTTGACCCCACCGTACAACTTGGAGATCTCATCAATTATAATAAAACCTTGTGCGTATGTAAGAGCTTTGCTTTTCTTGCCGAAATAAGCGTGGATCACAACGTTCCTTTAGTAGCGCGAAAATTCAAATGGCTTCTTTATTTTTCAACAATGTCAGTGTTTCTTCACACTTACCACGATTATAGAATTTTCTGTGAAGCAAATTACGGAGGGGGATAAGATAAATTGCGAACTGCGTCGCCCGGTGATTTTATTACCCTAAACAGTATACAAATAAATGCATATTTTGCATAATTAATAACCTGCAATTTCATGCACTCGAACAGACAATACACACAGATAAGCTAGATGGCAAAACTCGAACGAACCGATGACTAATTTGTCGTCTCTCAATAATGTTTACCTGTATTTGGTGAAAATATCGTCATAAATGTCACGGTATTCGACCGCCTATGCTCGTGCATGAGTGCGTACACGTAACAGAATTAATATAATTAAAAATGTTACCTCTGTTGGTTAATAACCACGCTTTGCTGTCGTGGTACTATATTGTAAACTTTGCTTATTTAATTAGTAGCTTTTCAGTCGTCATCTAGGTGCATTTTATCGACTATCCAGCATATTATGCAATTGGCTGCTACAAACAGAGGCCAATTCAGTGTCGAAGCGATAACTAACAGACTTTACTAATAGAGCTACTTAAACAGGATGCCTTAAAAAATGCAGAAAGCTAATTTGAAGCCATTTCTACTACTAGGGTTTCGCATACTTTTATTTGGTGTTGCACTCAAAAATTCTTAGTTCGAAGAAGCTCCATAGAGCGTATTCATACAAATCAGTTTCCTCCATGTTTACTCTCCATACCAGTTGATTTAACAGCTCCAATCTCCAAAGTAAGCGTAATGGAAGAATTTTATCAATTGAATAATAATTGAACGATGAGTAATAATCGATCAGTAATAAGACCTACTTTCATGATGAGAATTTCGTAAATAAACGAAATTATAATATTTGATATGATAAAACTCCACATGCTATTGTTTGGGACGGATCTCGGGCTGGAGAGGTTAAAAACACGCTGGCATGAAATGTACACATTCCATTGTAAACCGTATTGGGACGTCATGTCCCAGGTGTCAAACTGATGGTACGAAGCTCGAAGATATGTGGTTCCGAATATCACGCATTATGTAAAATGACAATATATCGCATAAAGCAATTTCTGATCATGTAATCCTCCATTGGGTCTATCAGAATGGTCTAGATTGTCCAAATACGCTTTCGGACTTCTTTCCCTAAAGTTTTTTTTCCAAGTTGGGGCCGTTTGTCGGGTTCACAAGCATCTAACCCTCAAAAGAGAAGATGAGACGCTCTATTACTGAGATGTACTTACAATTATACCAAGCTTACATCAAATACTTTGTCAAAAACTGAAATACATCAGCAACAAGAAACAGGGTATTTACAAGGCATACATTTCTGCTTGCCTACTTTAAAATACAACCTTTTTGGTATTAAATAAATAAAAAAGAATGTTTTATTTTTTAAATTCGCTTTTGTTGGGATACGAATATATCGTGCGAACTGGTACAGCGCGTGAATTAGAGACCTTCCAGGGTCATAAGAATAAAAAACACATGCGTCACATTGTTATTTTGATGATGTATCGCGAAGTGCTATCCTGTTTCGTATGGTAATATAGTTGCTTCAAAAAACTGTGGATTTGTTTTTTCAGCTGCATTTGAGATAAGCAGAATTCATTGGACATTAAGCTGCATATTTAAATTGTATCGCGGTTTTTTGTTTATATGTTTATCCAATTTAAATACCGCACTTTTGAAGCCTCAGTTATGCAATATTATATCCATAGATGTTTTCATATGCCATATGTGTGTGTTCAATACTGTCCATAGATACGAAGATACAAGATCCCAAAGATTTTTAGAAAATGTATGACCCTTTTGTTGCAAGCCGAAAAGCTCGCTTAATATTTGTAGCCCGGTAGAATTCCAGTGAATGCTGTTTGAATAGATTTTTATTTACTGAACAAGCTTTTGTGGCCTAGTAGCTTCCTAAAAAGCAGTACAAGAATGTACAGAATATGGAATATAGATTGGGACTTATTCATATGTTTTTTTTTATGACTGTATGTAGAAAAACAGTTTTTTTTTACACGTGCTAGAAATATCATACCTGACCGTCATATCTATTCAATGACACCAACCTATAATTACAAATTCGGCTCAAAACCTAGAACACTAATTAGTCATTCTCACAATACTCCTTTTTTGAATCATATATACAAGTAACTGATGCTACATATAAAGGACTACAACGAAATAAAATTTTAGACTACGAGCAAAACAAAAGTTCTGAAAATGTAAATGCACAAAATAGCCGAAACGTCCAAAAGTTCCAGAAACACGAAACGGCCAAAAAGTACAAAAAGAACAAAATAACTCAAACAAATGTTAGTCATTTCAGCACATCTGAATGACACAATTGACAGTTGCTATGTTCCTCTCCAAAACGGCCGCTAATTTTTGCATATGCCAAAAATGACTTTCCGATCTTTTTGATAAATTTTTAATCTTAAACCCATTTACGATCCTTTGGTTTGCCCCGTATAATTTTTTTTTCGTATTTTTCAGAAACCGCGCGGAAACTGGCATCACCGTAGAACACCGATTTCGAAAAAAAATCCAGGTCTTTGGTTTTGGTAAGGGCAGCGTGGAAGGATTGGAAAATACGCTCAGCTCCACTCAAATTGCAAATACGATGGGTTGTTTTTTACCATATCAAGTTGGTTGTTTTGTCTCGGGCATTCTGTTAGGACCGAGAATGGCGGATGAATGCACACTCGTTACGGCAGACAGTCCGCCGAAGTTTATCTCAATTTAGGTGCCGCACTCCGTAGCTATAGTTCACATCTGTAAATAACCTATTTTTCCGTGTAGCATTTTCACTCTTACGCACCGCAGGCAATCGTCCGCTAAACTTAGGGCCACCTGGAAACCTAGGCTGCGTAGACACGATTCATTGCGAAACGGGAGCCAAGCGTCTGAAGTAATACCTAATTGCTTGAGTAGCGAACGTAAAACACGAAAAATATTTTCGAATACCAGTGAGCGCGGGATAAAGCCCGTGGGAAAAGTGTCGCTCAAATTTATGCGCAACCTCTATATGCTATAGTTTGTCTCGTTCAACAACTGCTGGACTGAATTCTTTATGTTTGTACCGATCCGATGTTGGGGTTGAAAGTGGTCGTTGCGTCATAAGTTTTGAAGCATTTTGACACAATAGCCAATCAGAACATTGATGCGAATAAATCTGTCTGCTATCGTCCCTAAAGTTCATGGCTGCGTCGCCGCATTTATACGACCTTACAAAATTGCGACAGGAGAAGTGCTATAGTCCCCCCCCCCCCTCATTCTTGAGCACCGTAGCAACATCATTTAGAAGCCTGTCATGAGCGTCATTAAAGCTGCGAAGGGCACATCGTTACGAATCTTACGTTTGGTAAAATCATGCGAAACAATATCAAATCATTGTCTGACGAATAGTACGCAAAACTAACTAAGAATTGTTTGGTTTAGCAGAATGGTCTGACATGATAGCTTGATTTATGACGTGCTCTGGCATCGATTCGAATTCCCGATGAGTTCGTAAATGGTTTTCTCTACCTAAATTTAATAATAAGCTCGAAAAGTTTAAAAGCACATAGAATTTCAGTTGTTAGCGAATGTTGTGTGCGGCTTCTGGGCATAACGCGTCTTCTTTAATAGTAGAATGACCCCACGGACTTCGAAGGTAGTGGATATGGTCTTACGATGATGTATGCATAGCGGTATTAGTGGCATGGATACGGTAAGCGGAATAAGTACACAGACGATTATTCTCTGCGATAATGTAGGCGTCGAAGCTCCAGTCCCGCACTATTCGATCTCGTCAGTATATTAAACAGTAAGCACAGTTCTTAATGCGTGCACCTTAAATGAAATTCTTCGGGGACGTCTTATCATATAGCCACATTGTAAATCGCTTTCACGCTCACACATAATTCAATAAACGAATTTAATATATGAATAGCGCCTACTATTACCAGTGTAGAAAACAACGAGTGCGTAAAAACTTTTTACCTTACAGTAAATGCATGGCTTAGATATTTATCATTACAATCAATCGCTGTTCTAAACGCGAAACAGTGCCTCCTGTATTTTTTTTCGCCCTAAGGAAGCACGCGT